GTATAAGGCAGCAAGTATAAAAACACGATAAATTCAAGCCCAGATCCTAACAGATACAGATTTCTGGAATATTCCAAAGCTCAGAATGGGGCAGATTTGAAGACCAAATGCGTGTGTGTGTGAGTGCGTGTGCAGGCAAGGGTGGGCAGAGGTAAATCACAGAAGAATACTACAGTGCGGCAATGCCAACGTTTTAAGATCTTACTTGGAGCCACACTTTTAAAACATTAAATGCTTTATTGCCTGCCTCGATGAAGCTTGGCACTGGCAAGGTCAGATCACCTGGTTTTCCAGCAAAGCTGATGAATTATTTTGGCTGCTCCAGACATAAGACCTGATCCCATTAAATCCCGAGTTCCCCTGCCCTCAACACGTAACAGCGGATAATCTGCCCACGCGTGACCAACAGTGCGGTCAGAGATGTGTTACCGCACAGTAACACGTGCCCGGCTCTGCCACGCGGGCGACCTGCTTCTGAAGGGGTTGTGCATCGCTGCGGGGGGGCAGCTGCCTTCGGATTAAAACAGTGCCCAAGCTCGGGGCCCGGTCCTACAGCCCTGAACTGTGGGAGCAGAGGCGTTCACTCCAGTGGGACACATCCTGCATACAAGCACTGACACTGTGTGGTAAAGCACCAGTCTGCGTTAATGCTATGGCGTCGCTAGGAACCTTCTTTCCGATCATTCATTGCACCAATATACCTGCATCATTTGCTGCCTCTTCAGTGATTTACCATCAGCGCGGGACCTGCTTGCAACGCACCACTACACGAGATGCCATCCCCCGGGGTCAGAAGCAGCCCTGACAGCCCCCCTGAATTTCCAAACGGGCGGAGGGCAGGGGTTTCCCCTCCCAGCGCTTTGGACGAACACTGCGGCTGCAGCACAGCTGCTTTGCCGGTTTTATTACTAACACTCCTGGGGCAAGCTAACCTGGGCATGGGTGCACAAGTGGGCTAATCACAAAAGCAGCAGACTTTGCGATCAAGACTTCTAGATCCTACAATGGGACCCGCTAGAGGCAGAGTTCTTCATCCGAAAATTTTTAGGCGAGGCCCACAATTTTAGGAATCGACCTTGGAAAACCTTCAGCCTGGCCTTCAGAGCTGTAGAAGGGGTTACCGACCGCCTGCGATTGTGTTGTCTTTTTGATGCCTCAAAGGGTAAGGTACCTTGTAACTGATACTTTGGCATTTACTGTCACTTAAAAATAGCCTGGCAATCAGAGAGAGGAACTGCTCCACACACCACTCATCTTGCAGGAGGAAGGAGGTCAGCAATTTAGCCCGGGAAAGGTCACGCGGCTGCTCCGTAACGGGGTGTAGGATTGCGAGACGAGCGAAAGCTTCGCTCCGCTCACTAACAAGCGTTACGACGGACAGGTTTGCCCAGGCGTAAGGAAATTACTTGACTGCACGAGCTGCCCCGCGAAGGCAAAGGACAAGCGACGAGGTCACACCTGCGTCCCTTGCCTCCAAACCCCAGGAGCAGCCCTTGCCTCCCCCAGCGCAGGCAGCGGGCAGGCCTGAAGGTCAGCGCGGGGTTTCGCCGTCCCCGGGGGCTCTCCCCCGGCCCCCATTCCCTCGGCGCCTCTCGTATCCCACCGGCTGCGCGTCCCGCTTGCTCCCGGGGGAAACCGAGATTTCTTTTCCGGTATTTTCGGTGAAAATTTTCGCTAGCATCAGCCCGCAGGGGAAACGCACGCGTTTTTCACGCCGCTTGGTGCCGGCTACCCCCTCCGGCCAGGCAGCGCCGGG